TAATAATAATAATAATAATAATAACAATAAGCTAGAATATGTATTTTTCATCCCCCATTGGCACCCTTACAATCTGCCTATACTGCCATGGCATACTGTCAAATCAAGGATTTGTCTTGTCAGTAAGTGCTCGCTGGTAAGTTTTCACTTACTAAAATATAAAATACTCAAGCTGCCTTTTCTTAAACTTTTTCACTGCATTACAAAAAAGTTTAATTTTAAAATTTTAAAATTTTTAAATTTTAAAACTGAAATTGCTCAGGAACACATTGCAACAGAACATAAACTAATGTTGTATCTGTCCGGGCACTAAACAGATTTTTGTTTATAACAGTCAGTATAGTCTCCATGCAAATCACAGTTTATTTAAATGCACTCAGAATGCAAGTAAAGCTTAAACATAATGTAAAACTGAAGAACTCTGACTTAATGTGGTGCACAAAAAATGTTTCCATTTTGGTCCATATGGAAGCTCCCCTCTCCTCAAACAACTAAAAATGACTGAATTAAAATGTACACATTTAACATTAGTATTTTAAGCTTATTAACAAGCCTAAACTCAATATGTTATTTCAGAACAGTCAAGAACCTGCCCTATTAATTTCACTCAGTGTCTATTGCAACAAAAACAGCTGCAGATATGTGAAAAATACTGGTTGAAATCCTCCTTCTGTATGACATCATCCATCGTTTCTCTCAGGACTCAGAAATGTGTTGCCCGCAACTCCTGTGAAACAGAAAGAAAAGATTTGAAAAAATAAAACAAAACAACAAAACACAAAACTATCAAACTAAGTAAATAAAGGCACCAGGCAGAAGTTGCAGAAAAGCAGTTTCATTACCAGAATTTAACGAGGAGGAAGAAGAAAGTAAAATTGAGAAGCTGCTGTCTGGAAATGTGACTCAGCACACAGCACAAGTAATGGTTCTGAGTCAAGTGGGTTTAAATCTTCATCTTGGCACCATTCGACTCACTTTGAAGTTACTAAGCTGCACTTTAAACGGGCTTTTGGAGGAAATTTAAAACCTTGCTTTTTATTACGAGCTAAAATACTTTATTCATCACAGAAAGGCTTAAGTGATTAAACTGAACTGTCTATTACAGAGGACAAATTACTAAACAAAGAGCCTTTTTTTCTTTTAAACTGATTAATATTTATAATCCTCAATCAAGTAGGAATGTTAGGCCATGTGCACAAAGAAATACTAAAAACCGGGCAGAGGCAGAGAAATTTTTACACCAAAAGACAGGCTTGCAGGCACAGACACTGAAATCTGCTGAGATCAGCACAAACACACGCTGCCCATGCAAAACCCGACAAGTAATTTGTTTTCAGCCAAAGACTGATGGCTTGTGATGGGATGAGCAGTAATCCTGCTGCACAAAGGAAATGCAACTAAAGCATAATGCTGCACACAAAGGAAACATTACAATTCAACATCAAAACCCATTAAATTAGAATTTTTACTCAATGCAACCTTATCGTTGTGTTTAATTTGCAATCCCTGTCTGTATAACAAGAATCAATGAGACATGAGACGTTTTAATGGTTTTTTTATTAGGAGCAGCTTAATGCATCCGTTCCACATCACAAGCTGCAAAGGGAACTCGTTCAATTCCCCAATCGCCAGTGAGTAATGAGTTGTTCTTTTTTTTAAAATTAATTTAGATATGAGTCTCCTCATGACTACTGCAGGGTCATCTGACCTCACTTGGCTCTGTTTAACTGAACAGAAACGATCACCAGGGGCCTGGAATTCATGAAATTTATTAGCGTAATCTAGTTCCAGTACTATATTTTAAAATATAACTGAAACAGTCTTGACTTTCTCAGTTAAATCTCAGAACGCAGTTTTAAAATAACATGAGGAAACATAGATCATACCTCCGATTCTTCTGGATACGACTCTCTTGTCCTGACAGACTGACAGTGCAGAACGGCATCGTGGATGGTGGTGAAGAGGCAGGCCTTTGTTACTTTGTCGTTAAAGAAACCTCCGGTCTGCAGATTGTCCACCACACCGGCTGAACACGAAGAGAAAGAAAGAAGCTAAAACACAGGTGGAGGTGCGTAAAACAACAAAGAAACAGAATAGAAATCGAAAGAATCCAAATTGTTTTGTGTTAATATCCCATGTTCCTACGTGTTCTTATTTCGTGTCGCTTTTTTCATTCCCCCCGTTTTATTTCATGAAAAGCACTTTTTAAACAGTCTTTTTAAAATGCTATAGAAAAAAATAACATTTACCCCAATTCTTAAAATTCTAATTCAAGTATTTTAGCTTGTGTTCCACAACATACAGGAAAAGTTTGATGCACTCACTTTGGCAGCAAGCAAAAACAACTTTGATGCCAATTTCTTCGTAGTCCCTTTTAATCTGAAACAGACATAAAAGCAGAAAGCAAACATCTGATTGGGGAACATAGAATTTATTAAAAACAAGCTCATGCTTGTAGATTGAATTAAATGTCAGGAAATCTACAGATGGATGGATGGAAAGTTAATTCTGGGTCAAACTAATGATATATACTAATCAAAGTACTAGAGTCATGATGAAGAATTGATTTCTGAATAAACACGGTGTAGTTTTTGTGCTGTGACACGTGACTGCCGTGTTCTTACACTTTGTAGCGTCTTGACCCCCACTGTGTCCAGGAAGTTGACCGGGCTGAGGTCCAGGACGATGGCTCTCGGCAGCGTGGGGTCAGGGTCATCCTCCACCTCAATGACGGAAACCCCATTGTGCTGCTCCACGTGTTTGTCCTCCTGCTCAAAGGTAGGCATCTTAAAGCAGAGAGAAACATCTCAGAGACGACCAACAGAACAAATAAAAAAAAGTAATGTTTGCAGGCAGTTCAAGATAGGATTCACTCACCGTGTCTAGTCCGTTCTTCTTCAGCTCTTTCTTGGCTTTCTTGGCAACTTTCTTTTCATGCCTCTTTCTCTTGGCCTCCAGTTTCTTCTTTACAGAGAGGATCTTTGTGATGTCGACACCAGACTAAATAAATAAATAAATAAATAAACAAATAAATGATTGCACCATGTCTGGAAAATGACATTTGGAGAAACTTTCTGACTTTATTAGCTGATGCTAATAAAGCGCTCACATATCCAGTCCAAACTGAACTAATATATGAAAAAAAATGAATGAACAAACTTTTATATCCCCACTACTTAAAAAGATCATTTCAGTATTTTACTTGCAGCACATGATTGAAGAGAATCATCCAAGGATTTGTCACCTTGTAAACAATCCTGCAGCTCCTGTAAAGCTGCTCAAAAGTAAAAAAAGAAGAAACTTTCGTTGACGTGTTGACATTTTAATGAATGAGATGTTCCATTATCTCCCTCCCTGATTCAGTCTCTGCCCCTCACCCCCCCCCCCAACACACACAGGGTTTTTAGCATCTTTTGTCCAAGATTCTCTCAGTTTGTCTTCACATTTGTATCAAAAAGACTTGAAAAAAAGAAAAGGATGGAGGAAAGAAAATGGGGGGTGGTGTCTAAAAGCTGGTGAGAAGAAAAGAGAAGAGAAATTAGTGGGATGACATTTTGAACAATGTCTGTCACAGCTGTGATGTGTGAATTGGTGACTCGTCTCGTTGGTCGTTAGACTGTCAGAATTGATGTTTGTAAAAGAGAAGTTAATTGCACGGAAACGACGGCAAGATGGATCGTGTCTGGAGTTGGCTGCTTCTTGTGTTTTTCTGTGTGTCTGTAAATGGGTTTTAGGTCATTAAAGTAGGGGTTATGTGTCCATCACGGTGCGTTTGTGTGTTTGATATGGATTTTTGCACGGGGCTACTGCAACTATAAGTCATGTGAGCAATCCTGTTTGTGTGAAACAGATTTTATTCTGAGGATTAAGCTGCTTGGTTGAAGAAAAAAAAATGTTAGAAGTTTACAAGGAGAGATTTAAAAGCTAAAACTGTGTGTGTGTGTGTGTGCGTGCGTGTGTGTGTGTGTGTGTGTGTGTGTGTGTGTGTGTGTGTGTGTGTGTG